CTATTGAAGGCTGCTCTGCCCCCTGCTGTGCTCTTTGCTTCAGCGTGAGCTAGGAGGCAGGTTTCAACACCCTCCCCCGTGAAAATTACAACCCCCCCAAAAAAATTTCAACCCCTCCCAAAAAAATTTTCTGGCTACGGCCCTGCAAGTGGGGGGTATTTATATATCTGTGGAATGTCCAGGGTGGAAGAAAGAACTCCTGTCTCTTTGAGACAATTGTGAACTCTGCAATTGGCCACCTTGATTAGCATTGAAAAGTCTTGCAGCTTCAAGGATTGGCTGCTTCCTGCTTGAGGGAATCCTTTGTTGGGAAGTGTGTTTGTTTCGTGTCATGAGTTTTGTTCTTTCTTTACTGTTCTTGTGCTGAGCAAAGCAGGAAGATCCCAGGCTACAAAGGGACTGGGGAAATGGGTTTCTGTGAGTTTTCCAGGCTGTATTGCCATGTTCCAAAAGCATTGTTTCCTAACGTTTTGCCCATGGTAGGCATCCTTAGAGGTTGTGCGGTCTGCTGGAAACTAGGCAAGTGGGGTTTATATATCTGTGGAATAATGTCCAGGGTGGGAGAAAACTCTTGTCTGCTTGAAGCAAGTATGAATGTTACAATTGACCACCTTGATTAGCATTTAATGGCCTTGCAGCTTCAAAGCCTGGCAGCTTCTTCCCTGGGGGAATCCTTTGTTGACTCTGATTTTAGAGTTTTTTTAATACTTGTAGCCGGATGGTGTTCATTTTCATGGTTTCCTCCTTTCTGTTGAAATTGTCCACATGCTTGTGGGTTTCAATAGCTTCTCTGAGTAGTCTGACATGGTGGTTGTGAGAGTGGTCCAGCATTTCTGTGTTCTCAAATCATATGCTGTGTCCAGGTTATTTATTTATTTTATTTATTTAAAACATTTATATTCCACCCTTCTCACCCCGCAAGGGACTCAGGGTGGAGCACAACATTCAATGCAGGGACATAAAACCATACAAACACTTATATTCAGATTAAAAGTTGCTTAAAAACCATCTCAGGACACCATTTTGCCTCATTGCACTGCCCCAATGGTTGGTTCATTAGATGCTCTGCTATGGCTGACTTCTCTGGTTGAATTAGTCTGCAGTGCCTTTCATGTTCCTTGATTCGTGTTTGGGCAAAGCTGTATTTGGTGGTCCCTATGTAGACTTGTCCACCGCTGCATGGAATACAGTAGAAGTCAGCCAAAGCAGAGCACCTTATGAACCAACTTGGGCACAGCACAAGCATGTAGCCGGGGGGGGGGGGGGCTTCACCCCCCCCCCCAATTCTCATGGTGGTCTGCAAAAAGGCCTTACTGATACATTATTTAAACTGTTATGTTTGTTCATATCATGATCTGATCACCATGCTTGATATATCTCATATGCATGGGGGTATTGGGGTAACGATACTAAAGGTTTGCTAGGGTAGACCCTCTTTCACTCAGACTCAGCCCCCCCCCCCAATCAAACTCAGCCCCCCCCCAATCAAAATCCTGGCTACGGGTCTGGCACAGCATATTATTTGAGAACACAGAAATGCTGGACCACTCTAAGTCACCATGTCAGAACACATAGAGAAGCCACTGAAATCCATAATCATGTGGACAATTTCAATAGAAAGGAGGAAACCATGAAAGCGAGCACAATTTGGCTATTAGTATTTTAAAAAATCAGGCAGCAACCAGCCAGGCTTTGAAGCTACAAGGCCATTAAATGGTAATCAAAGTGGCCATTTGCAATATTCACACTTGCCTCAAGCAGACAAGAGTTCTTTCTCCCAGTCTGGACATTCCACATATATTGTCGAAGGCTTTCATGGCCGGAATCACTTGGTTGATATAGGTTTTTTCGGGCTATATGGCCATGGTCTAGAGGCATTTTCTCCTGACGTTTCACCTGCATCTATGGCAAGCATCCTCAGAGGTAGTGAGACTATAACTGTCAAAGACTATAACAATAGGGTTGTTGTGTGTTTTCCAAGCTATATGGCCATGTTCCAGAAGCATTCTCTCCTTACGTTTCACCTGCATCTATGGCAGGCATCCTCAGAGGTTGTGAGGTCTGTTGTGAGACCTCACTACCTCTGAGGATGCTTGCCATAGATGCAGGCAAAATGTCAGGAGAGAATGCCTCTAGACCATGGCCATATAGCCCGATAAAAACTACAACAACCAAATTCCACATATATATAAAAGCCACTTGCCTAGTTTCCAACAGAGGATGCCTGCCATAGATGTGGGTGAAATGTCAGGAGAGAATGCTTCGGGAACGTGGCCATGCAGCTCGGAAAACTCACAGCAACGCAGTGATTCTAGCCATGAAAGCCTTCAACAACACATTTGACTGGGGAAATGCCATTAAAGTATTTTTGCACGTCACACTGCAGTTCCTTCACGTGCCGGGGCCATTTGCAGCCACCTTTTTGCCTCCCCCACCCTCAGAGGGTTGGAAGTGTCCTGGAAGGTGCCACCCACTGGGTTCCTGTCCTGTCTGCAGGGACAGGGTCCAAAATAGGAAGCAGTGAGCAGCAGAGGGAGCCTGGCGACTGTGTGCAAAGCAGGCCTTGGCAAAAATGTGAAAAGCCACAGCAGCAGAAGGGCAGACCATACACCCCCCACTCAACTGTGAGTGAGTGAGTGAGTGAGTGTGTGTTCCCTTTGCTGTAGCACTGGGTCTATTTATAGCCTGTCAGGCAGGAGCCCGGCACTCCTCAAGGCTCCCTACAACCGTCACAGGCAGCAGAGGGATAAATTTAGCTCACGCGTTCTTAAAGAGACAAGCGCCGCCCCTCCAGGTTGCTCCCATCCCTCCTTCATAAGGAACCCCCCCCCCTCACCCCAAGAGCTCCCCTTCCTGCTTGAGATCTCCCTCCTTCTTTGGCCCTGGGGAAGGCAAAGCTTCCCTCTTAACAGTTGGCTGGTTGCACTGCATCAGGGGGAAAAATGCGCTGCTTGATGAATGCCTTATGGTTCGCTAATTGAAAAAAGTGGACATGTGCCCATGGCTCCCCTCCCGTGCATGCGCACAACGTGGGAAGGGGGGCTGCTCATGCACCTGAACACGTGCAGCTCCTCGCAGGCCAAGTGGCCTCAGATATTCCCTCCAAGGAATATTGCTCTGAATTGCACTCATTCTCACAGAGAGCAAGTAAGCGCATAGGGCTCCCTCCTTTCAGGTTGTTTTTAGTGAAAAGGGCTCCCGGCAATGGCTCCCAAATGATAAGGAACAAAGAGCCCCCTTTCTCCAGGAATCTTATTGTTGGAGGGCTTCTCCTGGGCCTAAAAGGGAGGGTGAAAGGTCATGCAACTCTGGAACCTGGTCATTCATTGTCCACTGCAGTCCAGCACCATGGACAGAGGCCAAAGCGGCAGGAGGCTCCTGCAAAGCTGCCACAAATCTCTTCAGACCCAGCAGCCCCCTCCCACTCTGCCCCCCTCCCTGCAATTGGGCCTCAGCTGCTGCTATTGTTGCTGTTTCCGGAGTGCAATGGGTGTCAAGGATTGGCACTGGCCCCCTTTCGGTGTGTTAATTCAGCGCTTGATGTGTACTGTGGCATTTGCCATTTCGGCATTCATGAATTCCTTACTTGCTATTCATGAATTCGTAATTGTCTCTTCTGTGCTGATGAATTGGGGATTATATAACTTGTTTATATAATCTACGGTTGGTGATTTGTGGGTCGCCTATACCATAGCGGCATATGGAGAAGTGGTCTACACTTGGATAGCAGTCAACGTGCAGAAAATGTGTGTTACAGTCCCAAAGTCTCCGCTGAAAACAACGGCAAACCACAGGTTTTGCTTCAAGCTGTTCAGCTAAACTGGTTCTTTCCTCAAAGCCCAAAAAGGCTGGGGAGCCATGGATGTTTTCCTACCTTCCCTTCCCTTTTTCATCCTTCATTTTCTTCCTTCACTTGCTTCCTTCTTTCTTTCTTTCCTTCCTTCATTCCTTACTTGCTTCTTTCTTTCCTTCCTTCTTTCCTTCTTCATCCATCCTTCCTTCTCTTCCTTCCTTCCTTCCTTCCTTCCTTCCTTCCTTCCTTCCTTCCTTCCTTCCTTCCTTCCTTCTTTTTCTTCCTTTCTCCCTTTTCTTCCTTCTTTCTTTCCTTCCTTTTCATCCTTCCTTCCCTCCCTTCCTCCCTCCCTTCCTTTTCTTCCTTCCTTCCTTCCCTTCCTTCCTTTCCTTCCTTCTTCTTCCTTCCTTCCTTTTCTTCCTTCCCTTCCCTTCCCTTCCCTTCCCTCCCTCCCTCCCTCCCTTCCTTCCTTCCTTCCTTCTTTCCTTTTCTTCTTTCCTTCCTTTCTTCCTTTTTACTCCCTGCATCAGCCACACAGATTGTCCCTCTGCTTCCCCGCTTCCCATGTGCAGCCCCTTCCATCCCCTGCACACGCATGCACACACAAGAGGAGAGCCCTCTTCCCAGAGATTCAGAGCTGGCTGCAGTGAGTCACGAACGATTTAAGCCACGCAGTTGATGTTGAGGCGAGCGCAGCACTTACATCCTCCCAAGACACACACACACACACTTGCTTTTCTACAGTCCTGTGCTCTGGTTGTCATAGCAACAGCAGCCCATCATCATGCTGATTCGGCTTCTCCCGTCCTCTCCTTTTCCAGAATCACCACCACGGCTGCTTGCATGATGGACCTGAGGAGGTACCCCCTCGACCAGCAGAACTGCACCCTGGAGATCGAGAGCTGTGCGTACCAGCCCACTATTCTGCCCATCTGTCCAGCAGTTGTGGTTGCTGTGGGGCTTCCCTCAGTGGGGCGGCTTGGGTTGGGTTTGGGCTGGACCCAAAGGATGGCAGGCATACCATCCTTCTGCTCACTTCATTCCTTTTCTGCTCTGCTTCCAATGGGACCTGGCCCCAGACAGAATGTCCCACGGCCATTCCTGGCTCTGACCCCCAAGAGATGGACCCACAATGTCTGAACACAAAGCACCACTGCCAAACACAAACACACACAGAGGTTGTCAGCTTCCATTTCAGTGAGGTGAATTTAGATCCAAAAGGGCCAATGCATGGTACTACTGAGTCTTATTCCAGCCATTCTAGTCTTTGAAGTTGTGGATTCAGGACCTAGGACAGCATGGATTCAGGACCTAGGACAGCGCCTTCAATGCTGAGCAAGGGGCAGATGAAACCTTGCAGTGAATTCATCACCTGGATGACGTGGAAGCCACTCCTGCAGCCGGGAAGTTAGACACACACACCAAGGCACTTCCAGCCTTTGCTTCTTTTCGGAATTGGATTTCTTCCTTCCAGAAGTGAAGGTTGATAAGACTGCAAATCAGGCAGCTGGATCTGGGTGGGATGTTGCCTCTGTACACATCCTTCCCAGTGGCTGGTGGTACCATTCTCCTTCAGGCTAGATTGGTGGTGAATCTGAGCTGTTAGGTACAATTTTTTTTCCATGTCAGAAGCGACTTGAGAAACTGCAAGTTCCTTCTGGTGTGAGAGAATTGGCTGTCTGCAAGGAAATTGCACAGGGGACGCCCAGATTGATGTTTTCCCATCATGTGGGAGGCTTCTCTTATGTTCCTGCATGGGAAGCTGGAGCTGACAAATGGGAGCTCACCCCACTCCCTAGATTCAAACCAGTCCTGCCAGCACAAGTGTTTAACCCATTGTGACACCAAGGGCCTAAAATAACCCCCAGTTGGGGTGATTCCACCATAAATATAGCAGAGTACCAGAAGTAAGTTTCATGACCAGCAGAAACTTACGTGTGGTGAAATAGGATAGCGTTCTATATCTTAGGATGAATCAGGACTGCAGAGTCAGAACTTTAGGTTCAAAAAGTATTTATGAAAGTTAAAGAAATACATTCTCGATAGAAAAAGTCTTGGAGATAACTAGCTTGCTAAATCTCATCTTCTAAAAGAGGTAAAAGGTAAAAATATCCATGCAGCTACATTTATTTTGAGCCTAACAGCTCAAATTCTATAACACACACAAACACATATATATTCTATATTATTAATATATTATTAATTATTAATGTTATTAATATGAATAATATAATTATTATAATTAATATATTATATATTATATATTATATATTATTAATACAATATTATTAATATATTTTGAGCCTAACAGCTCAGATTCTATAACACAAACACACATATATTCTATATTATTAATATATTATTAATTATTAATATTATTAATATGAATAATATATATATAATTAATACAATATTATTAATATATTTTGAGCCTAACAGCTCAGATTCTATAAAACACACACACACATATATATTCTATATTATTAATATATTACTAATTATTAATATTATTAATATGAATAATATAATTATTATAATTAATATTATATATATATTAATATTATATATTATTAATACAATATTATTAATATATTTTGAGCCTAACAGCTCAGATTCTATAACACACACACACACATATATATACTATATTATTAATACATTATTAATATTATTATTAATCTATTATTATTATTATAGGGAGCCCCTGGTGGCACAGTGGGTTAAACCGCTGAGCTGCCGAGCTTGTTGACTGAAAGGTCACAGGTTTGAATCCAGGAAGCAGCGTGAGCTTCCACTGTCAGCCCCAGCTTCTGGCAACCTAGCAGTTCAAAAACATGGAAATGTGAGTAGATTAATAGGTATGGCTCTGAAGTGAAGGTAACAGCACTCCATGTAGTCATGCCGGCCACATGACCTTAAAGATGTCTATGGACAACACTGGCTCTTCAGCTTACAAATGGAGATGAGCACCAACATCCAGAGTAGGACACGACTTTTACCTTTACTACTACTATTATTATATTATTAATAATGTTATTATATTATATTTATAATAATGCTTTATTATTAATACTATATTATTAATTATATAATTGTATATATAATATATAATATAATACCAATATTGTGCTATGCTAATAATTATAATAGATTGTATGTACATATAATGTTGATCATAATATTGTAATACAATATAATATGAATAATAATTCAATATAATAATTCTATATTATAAATTACATGTAATATTACTAATAATATTGCAGTATAGTGGTGTAGTACAATATAGTAATATCTAATACTAATGTTGTGCTATGCTAATAATAGAATATATTGTATGTACATACAACTTGTAAGCCACTCTTAAGTCCCCTTCGGGGTGAGAAGGGTGGAGTATAAATATCATAAATAAATAAATAAATTCCCCAACACAGATTACCCCCCACACACACCACCGCCACAAACCAGGACTCTCAGGTGCACCACACATGCACCTTCTGGAGCAATGGGAGCTTTCCCATATGGAGGCAGCCCCTTCCCTTTGGCCCAGCACCCTCCGTCACCCCCAGAAGCATGAGTGCCAACCCTCCAGGGGCTGCTCTCTTAGTCCTCATTACAGGTGCAGTAGCCCTCCCCTTGATCCTGCTTGACTCAGGGCTACCGAGTCTAATAATGCAATGATCCCCGCCTTAGCCCTCAGCTGAGACCTGACCATGTCCTCCTCTCCTTCCATCCAGATGGCTACACGGTTGATGACATTGTGTTCTTCTGGCAAGGAAACAACTCGGCTGTGACTGGGATGAAGGATCTGGAGCTGCCCCAGTTCACCATCATTGAGCAGAGGCTGGTCACCAGGGAAGTCGTCTTCACCACAGGTCAGCCTGGAGTCCCTGAGCAGGTTCCCTGAATTATCCTTGGGATTGGGGGTCTTGGCCAAGGGGCTGCTGCTGAGAGAGCCCGCTCCTCACTTGGATGTGAATCCCAGAATCCCATCTGGAGATGGTTGGCCACACAGAGGGATGGTTGCCCCCTCCCCTCCGTTCCACACACACATATGGCTCCAGGCCAGAGCTGTGCTTTGGACACATCATGAGAAGGCAGGATTCACTAGAACAAGCAATTAGCACTAATAAGGCAGAAGGCAGTAGGAGAAAATGAAGACTGTGTTATCGCAAAGAAGAAAGGCTCCTGCCCTCTTGCTGGCCCGACTGAGAAGGGGGTCTGGTGTTGGGGTCCCATTGAAAGGGGTCCTGGCTTGCCAAAGCACTGGGTGGGAAAGACCTTTCTTTGGAGATGGTGCCCACTGGCCCATATATGCTTTCTCCACATTGGTTATCTTTAGAGCACTGAGGTGGCGTCTTTTGGGGCTGCCACCTGCTACCACTTCTGGTTTTTCTAAATGCACTGTTGTTTTGTTGTCCTCTCATTGTCAGGCTCCTACCTTCGATTATCCCTCAGTTTCCGGATCAAGAGAAACATCGGATACTTCATCTTGCAGACGTACATGCCCTCAGTCCTCATCACCATCCTCTCTTGGGTCTCTTTCTGGATCAATTACGATGCCTCTGCTGCCCGGGTCGCACTAGGTGAGTCGTCTACATGGGCAAGGGTCAGAGAGAGGAAAGAAATGCTATTCTTTGAATGGGTTTTTTCCCCATGTCAGGAGTGACTTGAGAAACTGCAAGTTGCTTCTGGTGTGGGAGAAATGGCCATCTGCAAGAATGTTGCCCAGGGGATGCCTGGATGTTTTACCATCCTGTGGGAGGCTTCCCTCATGTCCCCGCAAGGGAAGCTGGAGCTGACAGATGGAAGCTCACGCCACTTCCCAGATTCAAACCACCAACCTTCAGTCAGCAGTTCTGCCGGCACAAGGGTTTAACCCACTACTCCACCAGGGGTTCCCTTTGAATGGGTTCAGTCCCACAACATGCCATAGCATCCATGTGGGGCTGAAGGAGCCCCATGGTCAGCTGAGAAGGGCATCTCTGTGAGCAAGGGAACTGCATAGCTTGCTCTCCTTCTGTCCCTTGGTCAAGGAAGACTTTAAACAAGGGCCAAAAGTATCCAGAGGCTTCCATAGTTCTGTAGTTATGTTGCAGAATTTATTTATTTACAACAGGGGTCCTCAAACTAAGGCCCGGGGGCCGGATACGGCCCTTCAAGGTCATTTATCCGGCCCTCGCTCAGGGTCAACCTAAGTCTGAAACTACTCGAAAGCACACAACAACAACAATCCTATCTCATCAGCCAAAAGCAGGCCCACACTTCCCATTGAAATACTAATAAGTTTATATTTGTTAACATTGTTCTTCATTTTAATTATTGTGTTGTTTTAAAGTGTTTTTTGCAATCCAAATAAGAAAGGTGCAGTGTGCATAAGAATTAATTCATGTTTTTTCAAATTATAATCCAGCCCTCTAACAGTTTGATGAACTGGGACCTGGTCCTCTATTTAAAAAGTTTGAGGATCCCTGATTTACAACGTTTATATGCCGCCCTTCTCACCCCGAAGGGGACTCAGAGCGGCTTACAAGATATATATACATACAATATATTATATTATTAGCATAGTGCAATATCAGTATTATATATTACTATATTGTACTATACCATTATATTGTAATATTATTAGTAATATTACATGTAATATAGAATGTATAATTATAATATCATATTATTAGTAGTAATATATTGTATTACATTATAATATTATATGTATATACAATATATTACATTACATTACATTACATTACATTATTAGCATAGCACAGGAGACAAGGTAGAACTGTCTTCTGCCCCCCCCCCCCTTCACTCTGGCCCAGAGCAGCAGTTGGTGCTGGCGGGAAGGGTCCCCAACCGATGACATATGCAGGAGACAAGACGGAACTGTCTTCTGGCCCCCTCCTTCTTCACTCTGGCCCAGAGTGGCAGACAGACAGACACAGGATCCCAGCTCCACTGAGCCATTTTCACAAAGTGTCTTGAGCAGGCATCCTCAAACTGTGGCCCTCCAGCTGTTTTGGCCTCCAACTCCCAGAAGCCCTTGCCAGCTTGTTCACTGGCCAGGAATTCTGGGAGTTGGAGGCCCAAACAGCTGGAGGGCCGCAGTTTGAGGATGCCTGGTCTTGAGCCTCTGCTGTCTTTCATTTCCATTAGATGGATCAGGTGGGTGGCAAAGCAGAATGGCTCAGGACTTTTGAGTATCTTTGTATATGTACTATATGTCAAAGGGCAGACCTGCCTACAGAACCTATGTCATTACCCAGTTCTGTCTATTACCAAAGAGGCCAATGGCCTCTTTGTAGCATGACTGTCCATTTTATATCCTGCACAAAAAAACTCAGAGCCCGGTCAAGCACACAAGCCACCATATTTTACATTCACTGATCCATTTCATTGTGTGCATGTGTTGAGCAAGGAGCTAACCGCCGTGGTGGATCCTTCTCCTTGTAGGGGTGACTACGGTGCTCACCATGACTACCATCAACACCCACCTGAGGGAAACCCTCCCCAAGATCCCCTACGTCAAAGCCATCGATGTCTATCTCATGGGCTGCTTCGTCTTTGTGTTCCTGGCGCTCCTGGAATACGCCTTTGTCAACTACATCTTCTTTGGCCGAGGCCCTCGCCAGCAGAAGAAGCAGAGCGAGCGCATCAGCAAGGCCAACAACGAGAGGCACCGATACGAGGAGAAGCGGGTGAGAGCCTAGGCAGGGAGGGAGGTGTCTGCCTTCCCCTCTCCCTCCCCAATTGCCCCATTGCAGAATTGGGGGACCTCTGTCTGTTTAGAGTCGGTAAGCCCTTCTGCTTGAGGGTGTGTTAGGGGCCCCCAAAGCCTTCCTAGTGCATCTCCCAGGGATCTGTCCTTAGTGGAAGGAGAACATCTGCCCCTCGGATGACCTAGGGGCAGGGAAGGCCTTCACACTGAGCTGAAAACTGCTTCTCACCTTCCAGGTCGACCCGTATGGCAACATCCTCCTCAGCACGCTGGAGATGAACAATGAGCTCCTGGCGGCAGACATGATGAGCGCGGTGGGAGACTCGCGGAACTCTGTAATGTCCTACGAAGGGTCAGGGATCCAGTTCCGGAAGCCGCTGCCCCCGCGAGATGGCTTCGGCCACCACCCGGCCTTGGACCGCCACGGCCCACTAGCCGCCCACCACCACCACACCGCCTCTGCCATCCGCAACCGTGCCAACTGCCGCCTGCGCCGGCGGTCGTCAAAGCTGAAGCTCAAGATCCCAGACCTGGCTGATGTCAGCACCATTGACAAGTGGTCGCGGTTCATTTTCCCCATCACCTTCGGGTTCTTCAACCTGGTGTACTGGTTGTACTATGTGAATTGACACACCTGTCGGCTGCAGAGGAGAAGGGGAAAGACACTCAGACTATGACAACACCGCAGGAGTGCTGCAGTCTTCGGGGTTTGGGTTTTTCTCTTAATTACGGCAATTGCTTGGTTCTCACTCCCTTCCCCTCACGCCGCTGCCCCATCTTTGGTTGTCTTTCTCCTCTCCATTGCTCCTGTTTTTGGCACATGATGTACACACAGCTTCGGTGTGAGGTAACATGGGTTTGTGGAGGGGGGACTGGCTTTCAGGGATCAGTGTGGGGTATCCCCTCTCCCTCTTTTTTAAGTCTTTGCTTGAAATGCTTCATGGGAGGTGGGGGGGGGTGGCTTTTTCTTTCAAAAACATGCATCTTTGCAGCTGACGCAAGATGTCCCAGGAGCGTGATGGTGGTGAGGGCTCGGTGACCACCCTTTGCTCTCTGACTCCCTCACTTCCCACTCCTTGGTGTCATTTTATCTGCTTCCTATTTGTCTCCCTGTCCCATTTCTTCTTTGGAAAGTTTGGCCAACATTCCCATCTTGCATGAGCTTCGTTTCTTTAATCCCTCTTTCTGCCTCAAATGTATACAAGAGTCTGTCTAAAAACCATGAAATGTCCATTCTGCATCATCCGTCTGGGCAGAAACAGGGAACAATGACTTGGGGGGTGGGTGGGTTGGGGGGAAATCCAGAGTCAAAGGCACATTTGGAAGCTGCCTTTTCTGGCCTCTGGGCATTCAGAGCTGTCTCCCTTTTTTCTGGTGTGAATGTCTGAACCCGTGTGTCGACGTGTGTGTGAGCTTGTTTCCAGGGAAAGAGTGGGCTTGTTATGTCTTTTATAAGAAGAGTCTCTCCCTCCCTCTTTCTCTTTCTCTCTCTCTCTGTGAGGTATAACTGCTAATAGGGGTGTGGGGTGTGGGGAGTCCTGTGTGTGTATTTGTGGTGGGAGTCTCAAAAATGCAGGGAGCCTCCAGTCTCAGAGAGGTTCAGGCAGACAAATGCAACGGGAAGAGGAAGGAAAGGGAAGGGATGGAAAGGGGATAGAAAGGGAAAAGCAAAGGGCCTATCATGGGGTTGTCCGGGAAGGAGAGCCCCACAAAGACTTGGGCACGCCAAGGAAGACACTTTGTGCCCAGCACCTGAGGGCCATCCTACAGTCAGTGCCCTTCAGCAAAGGGACGACAAGTGTGCTTTGTACGCACCAGAATTGCTCACCTTGATGACAGGCCTCTTCCCCATCTTCTGGCAAGATCGTGTGAGATCCAGAGTCTTGTAAACATCCAGGAGGCCTCATGAGGCAGAGGAAAGCCAAAGCAGCACTTTGGGAACTGTCAGTGGTTTTGGGAGCCATAGCACACCTGCCTTTAGCTTCAGCCACTCTGACCTAAAATACCCGCCTTTCTGCAAGCACCATGTGCGAAAGAACTGAGGAGTGCCATGCCGCAGTCACACTGAGGGACCCTTACAGCCCTTGTCTGCTGTCGCTCACCAGCACTTTGTGCCTCCATCAAGGCTTGCTGCCTCCTCTCCAGCGTTCCCCTTGCCTCCTCCAACCCTCCTTGGTGCCAAAGGACGAGAACTAGAGCTACCCTCCTCAGCCAACAGATGCAAGGCAACAGGTTGGGAACAAGCTCTTTATGTCCAATGCTTTTCAACCCTTGTGTGGAGGACAGCTTTTTCCAGAGTCCATTTGCCTGGCAGGAAGATTGCTTCCTCTCTCCCTCTTGAACCCTCTTTCTCTCTTTCTCAGTGGCTCACTTTTCAGAAGCAAACATTCTGCTGATCAGACCCAGTATGATGTTGGGAGAATTTATTATTCGGAGGAAGGGACAAAATCTCAGCAGTTGCTTTCTAGAGGCGGAGGGTTGGTAACCGATCCTGGACTACACAGCCTGCTGGTCAGAGGTTGCAATGAAGAGAACATGTTCCTCACATGTTCCTCACATCTGGCTTCCTCACTTAGAAAGCTGAAGGGTCCAAAGCATGCCAAGCCCTGATGCCTGCCTTCTGCCTTTCTTCCCTCTCCTGACCCTTTTGCACATAAAGACAAAGAAGATCCATGCTTTCATATGTCTCCAAACACGCTCACCCCTACTGCCATCTTGGACTAAGGAGAGGGAAGTGGAATAAGAGCGTCGATCCTGTCAGGAGGCAGGCAATCGACTCAGTGCCAAAGGCAGGGTCCCCTTCTGCCACCTGCGTTCACAGAGACCTCAGTGAAACCCTTCTGCTGGAGGAAGCTTCTGCTCACTTGCTGCCTCTACCAAAGTGCACCCCATTTATTTTGCCCAAAGCTTCCGTCAAACATTTGCTTGGCCAATGTCTTGCCAGTCCAGCAGCAGTTGTGGCTCTTACTGGCCGAGCCTGGCCAAGAGTGCAGGTGCCTCATCCTTTTCCAGGAGGACCTGCTCTGTTTCCTTGCTCCTTGGGCACTGCGCCTTCTCCTCAAGCCAGGCTAGGGCTGCCTGCTGCTCCTCTGGCACTGCTTCTTCACGGAGGCAACACGGGGGCAAAGGTCAGGTGATTGGAGAGGAGAGGCTGGGCCCCTTGTGTTTTCATCATGGCAGGCTGAGCATGCTGGGAATCTCAGGACAGCACAGTGCACACACATGCTCTATTTTCTTTTGCTGGCACAAAACGCAGCCACCGCCGCCACCACCACTCAGGGACTTCTATGCACTGGGGACACCATCCAATCCATCCCTCCACCTTGAGGCACTACAAACCTCCTCAGAGATGGGTGAACACATTGGAATAAGTGTGCGGATAAAATGCCAGGCCAGGGAGAATGCCAAAATGGTGCATGAAGGCAATGTTATGGTTTTAGGGGCAGGGCAACACTGAGAAACCTTCATATTCACTAAATGGGAGATGTTCCAGATATGCGGGGCAAATCGATGTACCTGGCTGTCTTCAGCAGTGGACATGGGGCTCAATGGCATTGGTGGAGGCCTCCAGATGCTGGGCAATTGGAGGAAGGCATCAGCTCTTTGAGAGCAAAGGCCAGGAAGCAAGACATTCTGTGGGTCACTTTATTTCCTTAAGAAACACTACAGGAGGAGATAGCACCCCGTTTGTGGTGCCATACAGTTCGTGGCATCTTGGAAAGAGTACTATGGGAGGTAGCTGGAATGGAAGACCAAGAGATTGAAGTAACGCCGGCCTCTGCTCACCCAGTCTTTGTCTACTGACTGACTGCGAGTCATGGTTAAAGGAGAAGGAGAGAGGCTGGCCTCAGGCCTTCATTGTTCTCCGGAGCATCTTCTCGGGGCTGAAAAGCAAGGAACTCATTACAGGACTGCGAGCGGTGGTTTGGCAGGAGAGAGGCAGACCTCCTTGACAGCCAAAAGATTCTCGGTTCAGTCCCTGGAAGTGTCTTTCTTGCCCTTGCTCTTTCTCCATCATATGCCCCACAGGCGCTTCTTGCCTTTTCTGCCAAATTCCTCCTCCTGCAAACCCGGGAAACGTGCAAAGGAGAGCGGCTGGCTCCAGTCTGGCGACGTCAACGCATGGCATTGCCTCCCAGCACTACCTCCCCAAACTCGCTTTTTCAGCATTTTATTCACAGCGAAGAAGTGTGTTCAGCGGCAGGAACAGTGTGAGGGGTCTGCCCTGGCCCTCCCACCTCCAGCAGCACAGAAATGGCATCAAGGGCAGATCTGGGGGCAGTTTAGGTAATCGCATGGCTGGCAAAGCCCTCTGGCCTCCACAATGACCCAAAGGAGAGTGCTATTAGCTATACAGCATAAAGTCAGGCAAAGGCTATCATGGGAGCACATGAGCAGGATCCTTCTCCCTTTTCTTCTCCAGCGGGACAAGGACTTTTTGTGGATGCAGGGAGAAGAAGAGCCTCCCCTTCGCTTTGCACAACCCACCCATCTTCACAAGATCACAAAGCTCAGTGGAAGTTGGCTTTGGGGCGCCAGTTTCTCCCCTCCTCCTGTGCTCTGACCCAGCTGAACTTTGTCAAGGTGGGATGCTCTTCATTTAACCCAGTCCAAAATGTGGGGAATGACCCTCCTTCTTTGAGGCCGGTCAGGTCAAGGGTTTCAGGGTGCAAGGACAGGGCCCATTTGCACAGAGCGAGGCCGACCCCATATAAACCTATCAGCATCTTTCTGGTGGTTTGGCTTTGGTTTCTTTTGCTCAGGATGGCCAAAAGGCTCCAGCAATGGTGCTGGCAAAAGCTGAGTTCCTTGGGAGTTTTCCTTCCAAGTGTTTCTTGTGGGTCAAACGGGCAGCTATTGCTCAAGTCAGAAGGTGAGGCGTCAAAGCTGCTCTTGGTCTGTGGGTCGGTCAAAGGAGGGGAAGCGCTTCAGACACGAAACCGGGACAGATGTGGAACTGGCCCCTGGAAGCCCCTGCCCCGAAACAGACTGATGTTGCAGAACGAACTGCTGCGAATCATTTCTGACCTCCTCTGAGCGGTTACTTTGCATCTTGTACAGTGTTTCCAAATTTGGGGAGGGGGGGGGAGCAGGGAGAACGCCCCCCCTTTTTTCGGTTCTATTTCTTTGATTTGCATTTTTCTGCATGAAATTAAGTCCTGGATCTTTGTCTCTTCTACTTCTTCTTCTTCTCCTCCACAAAATCAGATCCTGCTTTAAAAAAGTGTACAAACCAGAAAAAAAGGAAAGAATGTTTCTAGCAAAGTGATTTAGGTGTAGATTTTTTGTATAAAAAAGGCAAGCGACAAAAAAAGAAGAAAAAAATAGAAATAAAAATAACCTAAAGAGCCATCTTTGTCTACTCTACAGGTGTGAAAATGCGATTGGCGGGGAGGCACTTCCTGTTCCCCCGGCAGCCACTTCCTACGATGGAGCCGCCAATTTGGCCCTGCTTTTGCTTAAAGGGAAGTGGCTGCTGAGGCAGGAAGCGCGGCCCACCAATCGTGCCACGGGTGTACTTTCAAAAACTGTCTCCTATTTATTATTATTATTATTATTATTATTATTATTATTATTGTTATTATTATTTTCCGTTGGCTTTTTCGTGATCCTGTTGCTTTAAAAGTAACAGTTTTTGGAAGTTGACAATGAGCGAATGTTTAAAAAAACGAACTCGAAAATAGTTTACAGTTTTGTACAAAACATGATCAATATTAACAAAATGTTTTTTAAAAGATCAAGAGTGCCAAACAAAATGTTAATGTGTGTACATTCATGTTTTATTTCTTTTCTTTTTGTTTTGAAAACGTCTTCACAGACACACACACACACACACACTTTACCCCCTTTTTAAAAAAAGCAAATGGCAATGTACATGGACAAAATTGTATTTTAAAAATTGTTAAATATGAATTGGTCAGGAAAACTTTCTTGGTTTTTTTTTCTAACCCAAAAAGAAATTACACTTTCCAAATACAGCTTTTGGAAGACGACATGGTCATTTCCTTCTCCTGTTTGTCATCTGGTGTCAAACTGTTGTGCTTTCTGTCTTTCTTTTCATTTTTGGGCTGGATGGGGAGTGCCTTCAGTGGACAGGAGAGAAAGCAAATGCAAGGGAGTCTGGGGCAGCAGGACTCAGGCTCTCCTTCCTGACCTTCTGCAGCTCAAAGGCTTTCCCCCAAAGAAACCCCAATCGGCCCAACAGGCAGAACAGGGGCGTTGGGCGGCCTTTCAACTGGGCCGGATTCTGCAGCGTCTCTTTGCATTTCTGTTAATCTACTCTGAAAGGAAATGGCAAAACCTTCTACAGGCCCAGGCCCATAGCCGGGGGAGGGGGGGGGGCTTGAGGGGCTTCAGCCCCCCCCCCCGCCTGAAATTCTCAGGGTGGTCTTACTGGTACATTATTTAAACTGTTATGTTTATTCATATTATGACCTGATCATCATGCTCAATATATCCCATATGCATGGCGGCATTGGGATAACGATACAAAAGGTTTGCTAGGATAGATCCTCTCTCACTCAGACTCAGCCCCCCCCCCCCCCCCCCCCCCCAAATCAAAATCCTGGCTACGGTACTGTAAAGGCCTTGAGTGTTTCCCAAAAATAGAGCATCAGACCATAAGACATCCCTAAAAAAGACCTAGTAGAGCAGTGTTTCTCAACCTGGGGGTTGGGACCCCTGGAGGGAGGGTCATAAGGGGGTGACAGAGGGGTCACCAAAGACCATCAGAAAACACAGTATTTTCTGTTGGTCATGCGGGTTCTCTGTGGGAAGTTTGGCCCAATTCCAACGTTGGTAGGGTTCAGAATGCTCTTTGATTGTAGGTGAACTGTAAGCAACTCCAACTCCCAAATGGAATGGAAGGATGAATCCGAGCACAGATCATGGGGCTGCTCAGTGCTGGAAAGCTCCCTGCTGCTGCTGCTGTGTTGGTTCTGGCTGCAATCCTAGTTGTGTATGTGGACCTCCTGGCCTCCCTCTCTGCATTAAAGGGGCTAAAGGAGAGCAAAAGCCAGGTTTCGCCAGGGACTTGGTTATAGTTCTGCACCTGATCTTTCTAAACATCATTTCAAAGACCCTCTGCACTTCGTTCTAGAGCAGACTTTCTCAACCTGGGGGGGGGGGGGGTTCGAAAGAGAGTGTCAGAGGGGTTACCAAAGACCATCAGAAAATACAGTATTGTCTGTTGGAAATGAAGTTTCTGTGTAGGAAGTTTGGACCAATTCGATTGTTGATGGGGTTCAGAATCTTCTTTGGTTGTAGGTGAACTATAAATCCCAGCAACTACAACTCCCAAATGTCAAGGTCTATTTTCCCCAAACTCCACCAGTGTTCACATTTAGGCATAATGAGTATTTGTGCCAAGTTTGGTCCAGATCCATCATTGTTTGAGTCCACAGTGCTCTCTGGATGTAGGTGAACTAGAACTCCAAAACTCAAGGTTAATGCCCACCAAATCCTTCCAGTATTTTCTGTTGGTCATGGGAGTTCTGTGTGCCAAGTTTGATTCAATTCCATCATTGGTGGAGTTCAGAATGCTCTTTGATTGTAAGTGAACTATAAATTGCAGCAACTACAACTCCCAAATAACATAATTAATCCTCTCCCCAACCCTACCAGTGCTCAAATTTGGGTGTATCAGGTATTTGTGCCAAATTTGGTCCAGTGTATGAAAATGCATCCTGCATATACGATATTTACATTACGATTCATCACAGTTGCAAAACTACAGTCATGAAGTAGCAATGAAAATAATTTTATGGTTGGGGGTCACCACAACATGGGGAACTGTATTAAGAGGTTGCGGCATTAAGAGGTTGAGAACACTGTAGTAGAGGTTTTGTTGAATTGCTTAAATATAAGGCCTCCCCTGAAAGTAAGACCTAGCAAAGTTTTTATTCGGAAGCATACTCCCCCTGGTGGCCGGAAGCTGCAATACCATCCCTGCTGTACAAGTGGTCCAGGAACTGCTTTGGGAGATCGGTACAGTCTCCAGACAGTGTGTGGGAGCCAGGTACTTTACAGTCCTTATTTTTTGTGTTCCTGTGTGTAGGGGCCAGTATATTTATTTTATAGTGACAACTACTGTACAATGTATTGTCGAAGGCTTTCATGGCCGGAATCACTGGGTTGTTGTAGGTTTTTTCGGGCTATATGGCCATGGTCTAGAGGCATTCTCTCCTGACGTTTCGCCTGCAGGCGAAATGTCAGGAGAGAATGCCTCTAGACCATGGCCATATAGCCCGAAAAAACCTACAACAACCCAACTACTGTACAGTATATAATAAATGTGGTGTTTTTTTTTTTGTTCAACAATAAATGTGAATTCTTTTTCATGGAAAAATAAGACATCCCCTGAAAAATAACACCTATCAAAAATTAATATAAGACACTGTCTTATTTTCGATGAAAGAGGGTAGCAGAATATTTAACAAGACAAAAAAAAAGGATACTTAGTACAGAATTCAACTCACAGCAATTGGAGGCAGTATAGTGTGGCTCTGATGTAAAGAATTCTTGAGCTCAAGGAAGTGAGATGCGAAGTTCAATCTTAAACAGTTCAAAAAGGTTTGTTGTTCAAACATAAGTACATTCCTTGGTAGAAAAGGATTGGGTCTAATTTTTTTTCTCTAACTCCATGACTTCAAAGTCCAGACAAAAAGGGAAAATCTCTATAAAGACTACATTTTTCCATTCATAGAATCAGAGAATCACAGAGTTGGAAAAGACCTCATGGGCCATCCAGTCCAACCACCTGCCAAGAAGCAGGACAATCACATTCAAGGCACCCACAACTAGAGGGGAACTCGGACTGAAAAGATCAGAATGAAATGGAGGTGAATTAAAGAATGGTCATAACGTTTTAAAGGAAAATGCATCTTGAAGAATTCCATTCTAGTTATCAATTAGGGTGGGAGGAGAAAGGATAGTGAGGGAAAACAGAACAACAACAGGCATTCAGGAATGAGGAGGAAAGAAATGAGTCCCTAAGCATTACTTAATTCTATCTATCTACATTTCATTGAGGACTACGGTCTTGAGCAGTGTGGGGTTGGATTCCAACACGTGAATCAAGAAGAGGAGTTCTTGTTGAAAATTGCCCTCCTGCTACTGCTGTTTTTTGGCCTTTCCAGGAGAGATGTGGCAGGAGAGCCATTCACCTTCTTCCACTTCCAAGGCAGGAAGGCACTGCTTTTTGACTTTTGTATTGCTTTTAACTCGTAGTGTTTTCAATATGTTGTTAGCTGCTTTGAATCTCATTAACAAGAGAAAAGTGAGAAAGAAATGTAATAATAATAATAATAATAATAATAATAATAATAATACATCACACAGCCTAGACACTTGGGAAGTGTCCGACGTGTGACCCAGTACAACAGCCAGCAGAGTGTCTGCTGTGGACTCATCTGGTTGTGTTTCAAATAATAATAAAGACCATGAATCCCTCTGAGGAGTGTCATAAGAGCTGGGAAAAAAGAGAAGGGTGAGAGGAGACATGATAGCTATGCATAAATATGTGAAAGAATGTCATAAGGAACAGGAAGCTTGTATTCTGCTGCCCTGGAGACAAAGACTTGGAGCAATATGTTTAAATTACAGGAAAGGAGATTCTACCTGAATATTAGGAAGAACTTCCTGACTGTAAGAGCTGTCCAGCTGTGGAACTCTGCCTGAGAGTGTGGTAAAAGCTCCTTCTTTGGAGGCTTTTAAATAAAGGATGGATGGCCATCTGTAAGGAGTATTTTGTGCTTTTCCTGCAAGGCAGAGGGTTTAACTAGATGGTCTATGTGGTCTCTTCCAACTGTATTATTCTATTAGCCGCCCCAGGCTCCTTCAGGGAAAGGGGGCAGGGTATAAATAAAGATTATTATTATTATTATTATTATTATTATTATTATTATTCTAATAGGTTATATCCCCTTCATTACTATAGTCCAATCATAAGACTTATTCCACCAAGTTTCAATGATGCCTAGTAAATTATATTTGCCTTATTGGGTTAGGAGTTCAAGATCATCTTGTTTCTCATGATGTATGTCATCAGTGACATAGAATTATTAGAGAAATTAATTAAATGAAATGTTATCCAGCCATTGGTCTCATCAGGCTTACGGATCTGAAAATGAGTTCACATATAAAGATACTTATGTTGGTGTCTATTGTAATATTTACAGTATTACAGCCGGTCTCTGGTTTGGGGGTGGGAAGTTCAATAAAGGATTTAATATTAAGCTGCCACAAATCACAGCCCAGTCTCTAAGCTGGCAGAGAGCAAAGGAGCTTCTGTGGAGTCCATGGCCTCAATGCCTCCATCATCCTCTCAAAGGCAGAAAGAAAAGGGCTGTAAAGGAAGAGATCCCATAGGAGCCAATGGAGCTGCTAGGACTGAAGACCCCAATGAAGGCATGTCTCTTCTAGCAGGAGGCCAACCAGTCCACTTTAATTTTTAGAATTCTGTTACTGTTAATGCTGTATCTGTGTCTGATGTTAGTTTTCTTTCAAATTACAGGCAAGGAGATTTCACCTGAACATTAAGAACTTCCTGACAGTTTGAGCTGTACAACAGGAGAGCTCTTTGCCTTGGAGACCAGTGGAAACTCCTTCCTTGGAGCCTTTTAAACTGAGGCTGGATGGCTATCTGCCGGGGGTGCAATGATTGTGCTTTTCCTGCATGGCAGGGGGTTGGACTAGATGGCCTATGTGGTCTCTTCTAACTATTATTCTATAATCAGAAAAAAAATTCATAAGGGATAGAAATCCCCCAGTGGCTGTTCAGATGAGTGTATCTTGATCAACATGGCTCTGAAATACCATCATTATGCAAAGGTTCTTCATAGGTAATAGGTCCTGAATCATTGTTCTCTCTTTAAGTCAATTGTTGTTGGCCACAAAGGACAATAGTTTCCACAATTGGCTGAAGTTTCTTTCTGTTTTCTTCTGCTTTCTTCTTATTTCCTTTATCATGATGACGGGTTACATTAGGATGTTTTCCACTGGGAATTAGCAAGAAATGTGGTGGAGACGTGGCTGCCAAGGTAGCTAAAATGGTCAACATTTTCTCTTAAGGTACTACCAGATTCCTGTATTTCGAATCCTGATATCCCAAGATGACTTTGAATCTAGTCACTTTGCAATGTCATTTTGTGTAAGTCTGATCTTTAAGGAATTATGTCCACCACGTGATCCTGGAAGCGTGAGAAGGACCGTTGGAGTAAAAAGCTTTTTGTTGTAATGTAAAGGAAAGAACACTTTGTGGCGGCAAGACTCGAAAGTCCTCAGGCTGGGGCTGGAGGTTCATTAGTTCACAGCACAGAGCTTCAGCCTCAACATCTTCGTTTCTATTGCACTTTTTTTCCCCAAAGCCTTGCAGGCCTTATATCCAGTAATCTAGTATGCATCACACAGGAAGCCAAACAGGGGCTTATATTATTCTCACTGCTAGGTGCGCCCTCCATCAGATTGCGTGGCTGTGTCTAAGAAAGCACACTAGGAACCTATTTTGAATTCCTGCTTTCATCTTGAGGTGCCTCTTCTGGGTCTCATACTCCAACTTCCAATTCTTTTCCTCAGTTGTTGTCTTGTAAATTTTGGTATATTTCTACTGCCTTTTGTTGGGTTTCATCCCTGGACTGCACAAGTCTCTTGTGTCATCAAGTCTCCGGTCCTCAAAGAGTAGCTACAGATAGGATTAGGCTGAGGGATTCATCCCCCCAACCCTCACCCCATTCCTATGCATGTTTACCAAAAAGGGCTTTGTCTTTACTGCATTGTTGAAGGCTTTCATGGCTGGAATCACGGTTGTTGTGAGTTTTCCGGGCTGTATGGCCATGTTCCAGAGGCATTCTCTCCTGATGTTTTGCCTGCATCTATGGCAGGCATCCTCAGAGGTTTGTCTTTACTCTTCCTCCTTGTCAATGTTTCCTCCTCCTTTGAAGATGTAGCAATGGAATCTCTGTGAGGAACTATTTTTATTGCCCTGGGTTGGCCATGTGGCCATTCACCACCATTGTCTCTTCTGCCTTTCCTTCCTTCTAGTGAGGACTCCAGTCATGGTCAAACTTGGGCCCTACAGGGGTTTTGGACTTAAACTCCCACAATTCCTAACAGCCTACCGGCTGTTAGGAATTGTGGGAGTTGAAGTCCAAAACCCCTGGAGGGCCCAAGTTCATAGAATCATAGAATCAAAGAGTTGGAAGAGACCTCATGGGACATCCAGTCCAACCCCCTGCCAAGAAGCAGGAATACTGAATTCAAATCACCCCTGACAGATGGCCATCCAGCCCCTGTTTAAAAGCCTCCAAAGAAGGAGCCTCCACCACACTCCGGGGCAGAGAGTTCCACTGCTGAACGGCTCTCACACTCAGGAAGTTCTTTCTCGTGTTCAGATGGAATCTCCTCTCTTGTAGTTTGAAGCCATTGTTCCATTGCGTCCTATTCTCCAGGGAAGCAGAAAACAAGCTTGCTCCCTCCTCCCTATGACTTCCTCTCACATATTTATACATGGCTATCATGTCTCCTCTCAGCCTTCTCTCCTTCAGGCTAAACATGACCAGTTCTTTAAGCCGCTCCTCATAGGGCTTGTTCTCCAGGCCCTTGATCATTTTAGTTGCCCTCCTCTGGGCACATTCCAGCTTGTCAATATCTCTGTTGAATGGTGGTGCCCAGAATTGCCCATGACTTGACTAAAGCTATGGATGCCATTTATAAAATGGCAAAACAAAAACATAGTATACAGTATTTGATGGGAAATAGGCAGTAACCAATGGAGAGGCCTCTGGAAACCTTTCTCTCCAAGCAAATGACAGAAAAAGAGAAGCTGCAAGGCCACTTCCGGTAGAGACCGGAAAAGGAACTCTATTTCCGGTCCTGAGCCCCTCTGCCTGCCGGGAAATGTAGTTCAGATGGAAACCAAGAGGAAAGGCGTTTTAAAACCCTTATTTTTTACTTCTGCGTCTCGCTGCTAATATCATATTACTCTTTCATAGATTTGTACTGAAGAAGATGAAAAAGAAGGCGAACGGTAATGATAAACAATACCTTTGGAAATGCCTGAGGAAACGGGTTTGTCTGTGCGCATGCGTGGCGAATCTGTTTTTTAAAAAAAGGACTCACGCCGTGGGCGCATGCGCAGAAGAGCGCTTTGACGCTCCGCGGCGTTAGTGTGCGCGCGCAGGCACGCACAGGAAACTCGTTGCGCATGCGTATAAAAGGCTTGCAGTTCTGGGCGGAGATTCATAGGTAAACAGAAAGCAGGAGGTGAAAGTCAAGGGAAAAGGGACATTGGGGGAGGCTTCTAGGTGAGTCTCCCTGCCTCTGAGCTTGTGCAGAGTGCTTTCTCTTATTTGTAGGGTATTCAATTAGATTGTTATTTTTTTACTTTTGGTCCTGTTTTGTATAAACAATGTAAATCTGTATATATATATACTAGGCTTGGGCAATCCATGGTTCTAAATGGTTCTAAAGTACTTACAAAAGTAAAGTTCTGGTGGTGAAAATTTCAGAACTCTAACAAAACTTTCAAAATTTATTTATTATTTCATTACTGGTGATTTTAATGACAGAACCCATTAGAAACTGCCATTTATTATGAAATTTTGAGAGTTTTGTTAGAGTTCTGAAATTTTCACCACCAGAATTTTAGTTTTGTAAGTACTTTAGAACCATTTAGAACCATGGATTGCCCAAGCCTAATATATACACATACATACACACTAAAGTGTTTTTGTTACTGCAAATCATCAAAAATGTAAATATCGAAATGCATTAAAGTGCAGCATAGTCGTATATCTTGCACCAAATATCAATATTCACTAAAATTGTGTTATAACAACACCTTTATATTCTACAGGTCTCATCATAATATTGAAATGGAGCCAATATTTATTAAAATGGTGTTATAATTCAAATTTATTAAATTATAGTAAAGGTAAAGGCTTTCTCCTGACATTAAGTCCAGTTGTGTCTGACTGGGGGTTGGTGCTCATCTCCATTTCTAAGCCGAAGAGCCGGCGTTGTCCATAGACACCTCCAAGGTCATGTGGCCGGCATGACTGCATGGAGCACCATTACCTTCCCGCAGAAGTGGTACCTATTGATCTACTCACATTTGCATGTTATCGAACTGTTAGGTTGGCAGAAGCTGGGGCTAATAGCGGGAGCTCACGTCGCTCCCCAGATTCGAACTGGCAACATTCCCAAGTGTTGCAGAAGTGGTACCTATTGATCTACCCGCAGAAGTGGTACCTATTGATCTACTCACATTTGCATGTTATCGAACTGTTAGGTTGGCAGAAGCTGGGGCTAATAGCGGGAGCTCACGTCGCTCCCCAGATTTGAACTGGCAACCTTCCCAAGTGTTGCAGAAGTGGTACCTATTGATCTACCCGCAGAAGTGGTACCTATTGATCTACTCACATTTGCATGTTATCGAACTGCTAGGTTGGCAGAAGCTGGGGCTAACAGCAGGAGCTCACCCCGCTCCAGATTCGAACTGGCGACCTTCTCAAGTGTCTAGGACTGTGTGATGTATCGGCGAATAATATTTATTTATTTATTTATTTACCTTACTTATATACCGCTGTTCTCAGCCCGAAGGCGACTCACAGCGGTTCACAACAAATACGAACAGCAAAAATTCAGTGCTACAGTATAAAAAAAGTTAACAATCTAATACATTACACAATTAATAAACAGTTACTACAATACCCATTCACTGTCGTCTCGTCATCAAAAACATGTTCCAGATTCGTTATCCATTGTTATCCATTAACCAATCATTGCACTAATTATTCGAACGCCTGCTCAAACAGCCAGGTCTTTACTTTAATATGTGTAGATCCCAGTAAGGTGCCCTTCTGCAGCTGGCAGATGGTAATTTTGTCAGTGCCAATTGTGTTTAAGTGCAGGCCAAGGTCTTTAGGCACTGCACCCAGTGTGCCGATCATCACTGGGACCACCTTGACTGGCTTGTGCCAGAGTCTTTGCAGTTCGATCTTTAAATCCTCATATTGTGTCAACTTTTCCAGTTGCTTCTTTTCAATCCTGCTGTCACCTAGGATGGCAACATCAACAATCCATACTTTGTTTTTTAACATGATCGTGACGTCAGAAATATTGTGCTCCAAAACTCTGTCTGTCTGAATTCGGAAGTCCCAGAGTAGCTTGACGTGTTCATTCTCTGTAACTTTTTCCGGCTTTTAATCCCACCAGTTCTTTGTCGCAAATAATAATAATAATAATAATAATAATAATAATATAATTTGAAACACAGGTCTTCATGGTAGTTGCGCCCAGCCACTGCATAGATGTAGTCACACAAGATGCAGGCTGCCATGTCTGCATGCTCTTGCTGTAGTGACTGGATCTGGAAATACCAGTTATGACGCGGGTTGTACCTTCCGGGAAATGGATATCGTCATTTATAATGGGGGTCATTCCAAGATAACTCAAATGGCGGAAAGTTCAAGCCTATTATTGTTGTTATTATTATTATTATTATTAGAAACACAACAAGATTAGTACACAGCAAACAAGATCACTATTCTGACTGTTGTATTAGATCACAGATCGGACATTTCCCAAGTGTCTAGGACTGTGTGATGTATCGGCAATAATGCATGCAGATCCCAGTAGGGTGGCCTTTTGCAGCTGACAGAAGGTAATTTTATCAGTACCGATTGTGTTTAAGTGCAGGCCGAAGTCTTTAGGCACTGCACCCAGTGTGCCGATCACCACTGGGACCACCTTGACTGGCTTGTGCCAGAGTCTTTGCAGTTCGATCTTTAAATCCTCGTATCAGATTTTCCAGTTGTTTCTCTTCAATCCTGGATTATTTACTTATTTATTATCGATTAGATTATTGTGCTTGGCATTATTATTTATTAAAGACCATTTCTGTCATTAACACCATCAAACATGAAAGTATTGAATTGCATTATTTATTTATTTATTTATTTATTTACTTTATTTATATACCCCTTTTCTCAGCCCTCGGGTGACTCAAAGCGGTGAACAACATCAATACCAAACATCACGAACAAGTATAGGACAATTAAAAACAATTGTAACATAAATCATTGAACATCCATATAACAATCATTAGCGCCTCAACAATAAAATCAGAATCCAGTCTCATCATCCATTATTCTGTATTCCTATGTTCAATTACATTCATTACAACTCTAAACCCTCCCACAAAAGTCCTCTCCATTGCATTTAATATTCAGCAGTTACTGTTAACTGACCACCTTGATTAGCATTTGATGGCCTGGCAGTGCTAATCAAGGTGGTCAGTTGAAACATTCACACCTAGCTCTAACAGACAAAAGTTCTTTGTCCCACCCTTGTCATTCCACAGATATATAAACCCATTTTCCTAGTTCCAACAGACCTCACTACCTCTGAGGATGCTTGCCATAGATGCAGGCGAAACGTCAGGAGAGAATGCCTCTAGAGCATGGCCATATAGCCCGAAAAAAGCTACAACAACCCAGGGATTCCAGCCATGAAAGCCTTCGACAATACATAAAAATTAATTTAAAGCATTATATGTAACTTTGTTTGCTTCTTTCTACAGGGAATTGGATCTTCTTTCTTAGTCATGATCTATGATTTCTGGGTCATGACCGAGATATACAGGGTACGGACTAGACATCCGGTCATGGCCTAGACTTTGGGATTGACACGTAGAGTTCTGTGTGGCAGCACAGACGTCTGGATCAAGATCTACAATTTCTGGATCACGATATACGATTTCGGAGTCGCAATCTAGACTTCCAGGTTGCAACCTCTGAATTCCAGGGTGCCTGTGATGGCGGAGTATTGTTCCCGTCCTCCCTTCCGAAGCCCGTTCCGCCCGGCCCCCAAGGAGTCTTCTGGCCGGACCTATCGCAGCACCCATCACTCCCAGTCTCTGCTCAGTGGCCTGGGTGCCCTCCGGGACAGGGGTGTACTCTTCGATGTGATTCTGAAGGTCGAAGGGCAGCCTCTCCAGGCCCATCGCATTCTCCTGGCCGCCTCCTGCGACTATTTCAGGTCTCTTCGTTACCCAGAACCCCCATCCCCTAATGTTTTGGATATTATGCAATCATACGGAATGTTATGTGACTGTAGTGGGGATTGCTAGGGGAATGTTACGTGATTGTATTGTGAATTGGTATGAAAACCGCTTTGAGTCCCCCAGGGGTGAGAAAGGCGGTATATAAATACTGTAAATAAATAAAATAAATAAATGTTATGGGATTGTAGTAGGGATTCTTGTAGGAATGTTACAGAATTGTTATGGGCTTACATTGAGGATTGTTACAAGAATGTTATGTAATTGTCTTTGGAATTGTATTGTGGGTTGTTATGGGACTCTTGTGGGATTATAAAAATGATTGTTACGGGATTGTAGTGGGGAATTTTGTCAGGATGTTGCGGCAATATTATTGGGTTGTAGTGGGGATTCTTAAAGTAGTGTAACATGATGATAAGGAAGATTCTTACAGGATTGAAGAAGGAGATGTTATGGGAATATTATGGGATTATATTGTGGATTGTTATGGGAATGTTACTGGATTGTCATGGGGAATGTTGCAGGAATGTAGTGGGGAATATTGTGAGGATGTTACAGGAATATTACAAGAATATTATGGGATTGTAGCAAGGAATGTTATGAGATTCTAGTTGGGAACTTTATGGGATCACAGCAGAGAATGTTATGGGAACATTGATGGAGGAGTAAGAGGGTGTCTCAATTATCCTGTTCGTTTTTTTGGAAATAGTGGTTCAAGGTGGCTCTCTTCTTGTTACCTGTTTCTATTGGTGTATAGGGGAATGTTTACTAGCGGTTTGAAGGAAATGGACCAGAAGGAGGTCCAGATCCAGGGGATCTCATACAACGCCATGCGCCGGATCCTTGACTTCATCTATACTTCGGAATTGGAAATCGGACTGAATAGTGTGGAGGAGATACTGTCCGCAGCATGCCAGCTTCAGGTGAGTCTATCTTAATATAACAAGAGGCTCACTTCTAAGGTAAAGTCTATCTTAATCTACTTGTTCTACAGATGTAGGCCTATCTTAATACCCAAATAGAGGCCTACACCTGAGGTTTGTGTATTAAGATGGACTTTACCTCGAAATGGGCCCCAGCTAGAACCAAAAATTCTTGTCCTCACACTTTACTATTGTTCTATATCATTCAAAGCTATGATGACTTATTTTATATTGCTCTTATCCTTACTGCTGCTATCTGTCCTGTGCACCTTACACACTAGCCTTATCAGCAAATAGCAAATATGTAGAATACACTTAGATTTTTTAAAGAAATATTGTGTATTCCTTTTGAAATACACAAGTGGGACTCTATTGATATATTTACCTCAGAAGTGGGCCTCCATTAATATATTTGTTGGGTTTCATCACTGATCTGCACAATTATTTATTTATTTACAGTATTTATATACCGCCTTTCTCACTCCTGGGGGGACTCAAAGCGGTTTACACATAAATAATGGCAAGATTCAATGCCTTACATTGGGCACCCATACAATGCCAATACAATCCATTACAATAGTAAAACCACAATGAAACATAAATCACAATAATAATAATAATAATAATAATAATAATAATAATAATAATAATAATAATTTATTATTTATACCCCGCTAACATCTCCCGAAGGACTCGGTGCAGCTTACAAGAGGCCGAGGCCCAACACATCAATAAAACAACAGCAATACAACAATAACAAATACAACAATACACTCATAAAACAAGCAATAAACATTAGAACAATAGCAATAAACATTAGACAATAAATCATGACACATTTAAAACTAAGGCTGGGCCAAATGTAATGATTAAAATTTTAAAATGCTGAACATGACAGGTGAGATGGATAGGTTTTTGGAGATAAGTGCGGTGTGCAGACAATCTTAGTCTCTAGTAAAGTGCAATTGGAACATGATGCTAGGAGTTTCCTATTCTGGGAAGGCACACTGGAACATCACGTCTTCAAGCTCTTCCTAAAGACTGCCAATGTTGGGGCTTGTCTGATATCCTTGGGGAGAGAGTTCCAGAGTCGGGAGGCCACCACAGAGAAGGCCCTGTCCCTCGTCCCCACCAATCGCGCTTGGGACGCAGGTGGGATCGTGAGCAGGGCCTCTCCAGATGATCGGAGAGATCGTCTGGGTTCATATACGGAGATGCGGTCACGCAATAAAACAATACATCAACAAACATTAAAACAATAAAACAGTCCCGTCAGTCAAATCGCCGTTCCAGGCAATGTCCCTCTAAAATGCTACATACATCTACTGTCCGAAGGCCTGGTCCCAGAACCATGATTTTATTTTTTTTTCTAAAAGGGAGGGAGCAGATCTTACCTCATTTGGGAGTGTGTTCCATAGGCAGGGGGCCACAGCCAAGAAGGCTCTGTCTCTTGTCCCCGCCAGACGCATTTGTGCTGTTGACGGGAGTGAGAGCAGGGCCTCACTGGATGATCTTAGATTACGAGGTGGGACGTAAGGGTGGATGCGTTCGGACAAGTGAGCTGGGCCAGAACCCTGTAGAGCTTTATAGGTCAAAACCAGCACTTTGAATTGGGCTCGGAGATGGCCATCAAGTCTTGTGTCATCAAGTCTCCAGACCTCAATGAGTAGATAGACTAGAGATAGGATTAAACTGAGGGATTCCTTCCCTACATTCCTATGCGTGTTTACCAAAAAAGGCTTTGTTTATCCTCCTCTTCCTTTCCACTGTCTCCTCCTCCTTTGAAGATGTAGCAATGGAATCTCGGTGAGGGAACTTCCTTTTTATATGTATTTTAATTGCCTTGGGTTTGGCCGTATGGTCATTTGATATTTTCCAGTCCCCTCTGCCTTTAGTTCCTTCCAGTGAGGATGCACATTTTGCCTCTCTCTTTAGGCAAAATGTAACTGCTTGGAATTTTTGACATTTTACCCTTTTACCTCTTTAGAAGAAGAGATTTAGTAAGCTGGTTACACTCCAAGACCTTTTCTATCAAGATTGTATTTCTTTTACTTCAATAAATGTTTTTGAACCTAAAGTTCTGACTCTGCAACCCTGTGCAATCCTAAGGAATAGAAGCTTATAACAGCTCATTACACGTAAGTTTCTGCTGGTTATGAAGTTTACTTCTGTACTCTGCTATATTTATGGTGGAATCATCCCAACTGAGAGTTATTTTTGAGCCTAACAGCTCAGATTCTCCAACAATAGGTAAAGGTTTTCCCCTGACATGAAGTCCAGTCATGTCCGACTCTGGGGTGTAGTGCAATTTCTCCATTTCTAAGCCGAAGAGCCAGCGTTGTCTGTAGACACCTCCAAGGTCATGTGACTGGCATGACTGCATGGAGCGCTGTTACCTTTCCACTGGAGCAGTACCTATTGATCTACTCACATTGGCATGTTTTCGAACTGCTAGGTTGGCAGAAGCTGGGGCTGACCAAGGGAGCTCATGCTGCTTCCGGATTCGAACCTGCAACCTTTCGGTCAAAAAGCTCAGCGCTTCAACCCACTGTGCCACCAGAATGTTTACCTCAAAAGTAGACCGCCATTTGTATATTGATAGACTTTGCCTCAAAAGTAGTCCTCTATTTTCAATGCAAAAATAGAGGACCACGTCGGAGATAACGGCTATTCCTATATACCAATGGAGGCCCATGCTCCTGTTTCCTCTAGATCCTGGAGGCGATCCGCTTCTGCTGCGACTTCCTGGCCTCCTGGGTGGACGCCGAGAACCTCCTGGAGGCCTACCGCCTGGCTGACCTCTTCGGCTTGGGCCGCCTGGCCGAGCAACTCGACGCCTTCGTCCTCAAGAACTTTGTGTCCTTCTCCCGCACCCCCGCCTACCGCCATCTCCCTTTGGAGAAGCTTTATGCGCTCCTGGGCAGCAACGCCCTGCAGGTCCGCTCCGAGAACGAGGCTTATGAGGGGGCCCTCCTCTACCACTTTGACCCCCCGCAGCTTGAAGCCGACGACCTCTCCTTAACGGAGTTACCAAAGCTTTTGGACACTGTCCGCTTCCCGTTGATGGAGGCCCACGTCCTGCAGAGGCTCCACGATAAGCTCGGCCCGTGTCCATTGAAGGAGACTGTGGCACAGGCTCTGGCCTACCATGAGAACGAAGCCTTCCAGCCCTTGCTGCAAGGGCCACGGACGCAGATCCGGTCGCGCTTCCGGTGCGTGGCGGGCTTTGGCGGGAGGCACGGCACCCCCTCGGCGGCGCTCAGCAGCCAGGCCTGGTTCCTGAACCCACTCCTGAAAGGCTGGAGGCATCTGACCGTTGCTCAGGCACCTCTGATGTCCAACCAAGGGGTTGCTGTCTACAACGATTTCGTCTACCTCATCGGAGGGGACAACAACGTACGAGGTTTCCGAGCGGAGGCCCGGTGCTGGAGGTGAGTGACATGATGCGCCTCGTAGAGTCAGTGATGTCCTCTATTTATTTATTTATTTATTTTGTGTATTTCTACCCTGCCTTTCTCAACTTTCTCAGGGCGGCTTACAAAAGGCACAATTCGATTCCTACACAACAGTACAAATAAAACATATATAACAGCAATTAAAACAGTTATAAACAGTTAAAACAATCAATTATACATCACAATCAATAAAACCAATCTTATGCTCAACGTTCGCCAGCTCAGAATCCATAAATTCATTCCACATTGTCAGTTCCTATCAATTCTAGTCGTCATTGTCCTTTATCTATCTGCCAGGTTACCCAAACATCTGGTCCCAAATCCATGTTTTTAATTTCCTTCTAAAAGAGTGGAGGGATGTCGATGACCTAATTTCCCCGGGGAGTGAATTCCACAGGTGAGGTGCCACCACCGAGAAGGCCCTGCTCCTCATCCCCACCAATCTAACTTGTGATAGAGGTGGGGCCGAGAGCAGGGCCTCCCCAGAAGATCTTAAACTCCGAGGCGGGACTTAGAGGGAGATGCGTTCGGACAGGTACGCTGGGCCGGAGCCGTATAGGGTTTTGTAGGTCAAAACCAGTACTTTGAATTGTGCTTGGAACTGGATCGGCAGCCAGTGGAGCTGACATAGCAGAGGGGTGGTATGCTCCCTGTATGACGCTCCGGTGAGCAATCTGGCTGCCGCCCGCTGGACTAATTGAAGTTTCCGAACAGTCTTCAAAGGCTACTCCACGTAGAGTGCGTTGCAGTAATCTATTCGGGATGTAACAAGAGCGTGGACCACTGTGGCCAGATCTGACTTCCCAAGGTACGGGCGCAACTGGCGCACAAGTTTTAATTGTGCAAAAGCTCTCCCGGCCACCGCTGAGACCTGGGGTTCCAGGCTCAGCGATGAGTCCAGGATCACTCCCAAGCTGAGAACCTGCGTCTTCAGGGGGAGTGTAACCCCCGTCCAACACAGGCTGTAACCCTATACCCTGTTCAGCCTTACGACTGACCAGTAGGACCTCTGTCTTGTCTGGATTCAGTTTTAATTTGTTAGCTCTCATCCAGTCTGATACAGTGAGATCCTAGTTCTTCCCCTCCCACTCGGTGGCATTTCGGCATCCTTGCCCCCCCCCCCCCCAAAATCTTCAACCTTCCCAATGATATCCTGTAATCATCGCCATCATCATCCTCATTCTCTTATAATTTCATTTTATGTGTTCCAGTGATATCCGCTGCTGATGATCATAAGAATAACCATATGTAACAAAATCTGACAAATGTTCTCTTCCTGGATTGAAAGTGTTATGGTTTCATGGACCGTTTCAAACAAAAGGAGGAAACCTTGAAAACAAACCAAATCTGGCTATCAGTATTTTGAAAGTCTAAAATCAAGAGTAGCACTCAAAAAACAAGGGAATTCCAGGCAAGAATTAATCAGAGCCAGCTGGCGCCTCCCAACAAAGGATTCCCCTGGAAGGAGGCAGCCAAACTTTGAAGCTACAAGGCCATTAAATGTTGGCAACATTGTCACTTGCCTCCAACAGACAATAATTCTTTCTCCCACCCTGGACATTCCACAAATATATAAACTCCATTTTCCTAGTTTCACAACCTCTGAGGATGCCTGCCATAGATGTGGGTGAAATGTCAGGAGAGAATACTACTGGAGCATAGCCATAGAGCCTAAAAAACTCACAGCATCCTAGGTTGTAATTGGTTGAGACTCGGTGAGAAATTCATTGAAACACTAGAGCTGCAGGATGTTCTTCATGCAGAAAGTTTTTGCAGTTTAATAAACATTTCACCATGTTTTTATGATAGAACCAATTAGGAAATGACACTTGCCAACCAGGAAAAATTGTGTGATGTAGTGTTATATAACAATTATAGTAACAAATACTTATAATATATGTGGTAAATAAAAATAATAATAAAAATAATAAAAATATTTTTGGAAAAAATGAATAATAATAATTAATTATAATTAATTAATTGTTATTATTATTAATAATAAGACTAATAATTAATAATTAATAATAATAAAGTATTATTCATAATAAGCTGACACGATATGAGGATTTAAAGATCAAACTGCAAAGACTCTGGCACAAGCCAGTAAAGGTGGTCCTGGTGGTGATCGGCACACAGGGTGCAGTGCCTAAAGACCTTGGCCTGCACTTAAAACACAATGACCGCTAACAAAATTACCATCTGCCAGCTACAGAAGGCCACCTTACTGGGATCTGCATGCATTATGTACTGATACATCACACAGTTCTAGACACTTGGAAAGTGTCTGATGTGTGATCCGATACAACACCCAACAGAGTGTCTGCTGTGGACTCATCTTGTTGTGTTTATAATAATAATAATAATAATAATAATAATATAAGAGGCTTGAACTCTCTGCCATTTTATTTATCCTGGAATGATCCCATTATAAATAACAATATCCATTGTTATTTATAGGTACGATCCGCGTCATAACCGGTGGTTCCAGATCCAGTCACTGCAGCAAGAGCACGCCGACATGGCTGTCTGCATCTTGGGTGACTACATCTATGCAGTGGCCGGGCGCAACTACCATGAAGACCTGCGTGAGGTGGAGCGCTACGACCCCCGGACAAACACCTGGGAGTATGTGGCGCCCCTCCAGAAGGAGGTAAGGGAAACTGGAGAGAAACTACAAGTTGGGGCGGGAAACATGGGCAACATTTCAGGGGATTGTCGAGAACGGACTGCGATGTCACGTGTATTCTTCTCTCTGAGGTGGACTTGGGCTTTGACTGGTTTTCATTAATATATCTAATTTCTGGAAATTTCTGGAAGAAGAGATAACAGTGCATTATGACCCCCGTATCTGTGGGCTATACATTAATAATAATAATAATAATAATAATAATAATAATAATAATAACAACACTTTATTTGTACCCCGCTACCATCTCCTCAATGGACTCAGTGCGGCTTACATGAGGCCGAGCCCAAATACAACAATACATTCTAAGACCTTTAATGGATTTCAAATAATACTACCAAAACTTTATTGTGAACAGTGTCCGAATCCCTAGTAATATCCTTTAATAATAATAATAATAATAATAATAATAATAATAATAATATAGAAATAATAATCTTGTAATGTTATTTTAATAGTCCCAGTGATATCTTGTAATAATAATAAAATTCTTGTAATTTTGTCTTACGAGTCCTGGTGATATCCTGTAATCAACATCATCATCATTTCATAATTACAGCTAACAGGTCCCAATTGTATCCTTGTTGTTCATTCGTTCAGTCGTCTCCGACTCCTCGTGACCTCATGGACTAGCCCACGCCAGAGCTCCCTGTCGGCCGTCACCACCCCCAGCTCCTTCAAGGTCAGTCCAGTCACTTCAAGGATGCCATCCATCCATCTTGCCCTTGGTCGGCCCCTCTTCCTTTTTCCTTCCATTTCCCCCAGCATAATTGTCTTCTCTAAGCTTTCCTGTCTCCTCATGATGTGGCCAAAGTACTTCAACTTTGTCTCTATATCCTTCCCTCCAATGAGCAGTCGGGCTTTATTTCCTGAAGTATGGACTGGTTGGATCTTCTCGTGGTCCAAGCACTCTCAGAACTTACTTCCAACACCACAGCTCAAAGCCTCTCTCTTCCTTCGCTCAGCCTTCCCGAAGGTCCAGCTCTCACATCTGTAGGTTACTACAGGGAATACCATGGCCTTGACTAGGCGGATCTTTGTTGCAAGTCTGATGTCTCTACTCTTCACTATTTTATCGAGACTGGACATTGCTCTCCTCCCAAGAAGTAAGCGTCTTCTGATTTCCTGGCCACAATCTGCATCTGCAGTAATCTTTGCACCTAGAAATACAAAGTCTGTCACAGCCTCCACGGTTTCTCCCTCTATTTTCCAGTTGTCAATCATTCTTGTTGCCATAATCTTGGTTTTTTTGACGTTTAGCTGCAACCCGGCTTTTGCGCTTTCTTCTTTCACCTTGATTAGAAGGCTCCTCAGCTCCTCCTCGCTTTCGGCCATCAGAGTGGTGTCATCTGCATATCTGGGTTTGTTAATGTTTCTTCCAGCCATTTTCACCCCAGCTTTGCATTCATCAAGCCCCGTCGGGTGTGCATGTTTCACAATAGGGGGAGGGGTGAGGGAAGGTCAGGGAAGTGGGGGGTGGGGGGGGGAAGGGGGGGGGCAGGGGGGGGGAGGCTGGCCATTCTTCAAGCCTCGCACATCGCATGATGTGTTCTGCAAACAAGTTAAAAAGGTTGGGTGAGAGTATGCAGCCTTGCCGTACGCCTTTCCCAATCTTGAACCAGTCTGTTGTTCCGTGCTCAGTTCTGACTGTTGCTACTTGGTCCTTGTACAGATTCCTCAGGAGAGAGACAAGGTGGCTTGGTATGCCCATCCCACCAAGAACTTGCCACAATTTATTATGATCCACACAGTCAAAGGCTTTAGAATAGTCAGTGAAGCAGAAGTAGATGTTTTTCTGAAACTCCTTGCCTTTCTCCATTATCCAGCGGATATTGGCAATCTGGTCTCTCGTTCCTCTGCCTTTTCTAAACCCAGCTTGAACATCTGGCAACTCTCGCTCCATTTATTGCTGGAGTCTTCCTTGCAGGATCTTGAGCATTACCTTACTGGCATGAGAAATAAGGGCCACTGTACGGAAGTTTGAGCAGTCTTTCGCATTTCCCTTTTTTGGTATGGGGATATAAGTTGATTTTTTCCAGTCTGATGGCCATTCTTGTGTTTTCCATATTTGCTGGCAAATGGCATGCATCACCTTGACAGCATCATCTTTTAAGATTTTAAACAGTTCAGCTGGGATCCCGTCGTCTCCTGGTGCCTTGTTGTTAGCAATGCTTCTTAAGGCCCATTCAACCTCACTCCTCAGGATGTCTGGTTCTAATTCATTCACCACACCGTCATAACTATCCTCAATATTATTATCCTTTCTATACAGTGATCCTTTGCTGGAGAATTGTATCCTATATGGTTATAAAATTATCATAATTAACATCTTGTGATTTTGGCTGACAGGTCCACATGCTTTCCTATATGGTCATATCATAACAATGATAATAATAATAATATATAAGTATCATACTACTATAATATTACACCGGGAGCCCCTCGTGGTGCAGTGGGTTAAACCTTCGATCAGCAAGACTGCTGATCGAAAAGTCAGTGATTCAAATCTGGGGAGTGGGGTGAGCTCCTGTCTGTCAGCTCCAGCTTCTCATGGGGGGACATTAGAGAAGCCTCCCACAAGGATGGTAGAACATCCCCAGGACAACATCCTTGCAGACATCCAGTTCTTTCACATCAGAGGCAACTTGCGGTTTCTCAAGTCACTCCTGACATGAAAAAAAATTGTATTATATACGGCCAATAAGTAATATATTCTTTTAATATTATAATACTACATTTTATGTGGTGAGCATTAGGATTATATATAATAATAATAATAATAATAATAATAATAATAATACTTATTTGTACCCCGCTACCATCTCCCCAAGGGACTCGGTGCGGCTTACATGAGGCCGAGCCCAAATACAACAATACAAGCAATAATAACAACAATACAAGTAATTAAAATAAAAACATGAACAATAAAATAATGAAAGATTAACAGTAAGACAACACACAATTAAAACTGTGGGAAGGCCAAATGTAAAATTAAAATTGAAAATATATGTAGATGTCTAAATAATAATCATAGCAATTTCTTATTTTTGTGATCTGACTACTGTCCCAGAAATATTCTGTAGTTGTTGTTATTGTTGTTGTTATTATTATTATGCCATAGCCCCATTTTCTCGTTCTGACTACTGTCTCAGTGATCTCCTGTAACCATCATCATCATTATCGTAATTTTGGCTGATAATGGTTAAATGACAACAACATGGTTAAATGACAACAACATGGTTAAATGACAACAACATGGTTAAATGACAACAACAAAAACAACAATAATAGTATACTATATTATTACATTGGCATTTTAATACTATATTATCCTTGTATGGTTATCTAATAACATACATTCTATTAATACCATAATTTTTATATAATATAATATATTACATTTATACTATGTATTGTTATTAGGTTAGGGTTAAATATATAAATATGCATGTAAAATGGATGGATGGGATCCTTGAAGTGATTGGATTGACCTTGAAGGAGCTGGGGGTGGTGACGGCCGACAGGGAGCTCTGGCGTGGGCTGGTCCATGAGGTCACAAAGAGTCGGAAGCGATTGAATGAATGAACAACAAAAAATAAATGTATACATATAAAGATAGGGTTATATATGTCTGATTAACAATAAAATTTTCTTGTCCTCTTATTTTAATCACCCCAGTGATACCTTGTAATCATTATTGTATGATATTATATTTTCTCATTCTTACTGCCTCCTGCTGCAATTTTCCTTCCTTCTTTCCAATGGATGATCACACGCAGGTCTTTGCCCACGCTGGAGCTGCCTTGGATGGGAAGGTGTACATTGCGTGTGGGAGGCGGGAAGAGGAGTACCTCAAGGAGTTCCAGTGCTACGATCCCGGGACAAATTGCTGGGCCACTTTACCTGACAGCCCCTTCCGGCGTGCCTGGCACGGCATGGTGGCCTTGCTGGGGAAGCTTTACGTCATTGGCGGGAGCAACACCGACTGTGGCTTCCGGCAAGATGTCCTTGAGGTGAGACTCATATAAAAAGTTGTGACTCCTCAAAAAAAGAACACGGCTGCCAGTAAAAAATAGCTGCTAGAGTAACGCTCATAATCCCGATGTTGACAAAAATCTCTAGCATCTAATCAGACACATTTATTTATTTATTTATTTGTGACATTTATATGCCGCCCTTCTCACCCCCAAAGGGGACTCAGAGCAGCTTACAAGATATATATACATACATACATACATACATACATATATATTATACACACACACACACACACACAATATATTATATTATTAGCATAGTACAATATCAGTAATATATATTACTATATTGTACTATACCATTATATTGTAACATTATTAGTAATATCATATGTAAAATAAAATATATAATTATAACATCACATTATTAGTACTAGTATTACATTGTATTACATTATATTATAAATATTATATGTATATACTATTATATTATATTATATTATATTATATTATATTATATTATATTATATTATATTATATTATATTATTAGCATAGCACAGGAGACAAGGTGGAACTGTCTCCTGGCCCAAACTTTTGTTGAGAGGTGACTAGATGACAGTTTGCTCCAGGCACTGTCAGGCTATTATATGCTAATCAAGGTGGTCAGTTGAAACATTCACACCTAGCTCCAGCAGACAAGAGTTCTTTGTCCCACCCTGGTCATTCCACAGATATATAAACCCTTTTTCCTAGTTCCAACAGACCTCACTACCTCTGAGGATGCTTGCCATAGATGCAGGCAAAACGTCAGGAGAGAATGCCTCTAGACCATGGCCATATAGCCCAAAAAAACCTACAACAACCCAATAATAATAATAATAATAACAATAATAAGTAACTTTATACCCCGCCACTATCCCCCTGCTGGGGACTTGGGGCGGCTTACATGAGGCCAAGCCCAGAAAACAAATTACAGCAGAATGAAACCGAAATTGCAAACAATAAACAACAACATCATAATTACATAACACATATGAATACATCACAATATAAAATTACAACAAACACAATCACAATGGGCAGGCTACATGTAATGATTAAAAGAAAACTGATTAGAAACTGATTAAAAACTCGAGTGAGATAAGGAGAAGCGGGTTATTTGCGGAAGAGGGCTCATTAAAACGGGGGTTGTGGAATCAAGCTTTCCCACGGTGGGTGGGGGGGGGCAGGGGATGTTTACTTCAATGACAGAACATCGAGGCTAAGCAATAGTGTGAGGTTGTATACCTACTCACCAAAGGCGCAGCGGAAGAGCCAGGTTTTAAGGTTCTTTTTAAAGGTTTCTAGGGTAGGGCCTTTTCTTAAGGTGATAAGCACATGTCTGCATTTTAGATGGATTAGGAATCAGCTATTTTTTCCTTCTAACAGGCAGTAAGAGCTTTGGAGAGCTTCTGTTCAATTATCTCAAAGCTCTCTGCTTGAGTGGTGATGGCACGATCGTCAGCATAGATGAAACTCTCTGTCCCTTCTGGCAGTGGCTGGTCATTTGTGTAAATGTTGAACATTTATGGAGCAAGCACGCTCCCCTGAGGCAGGCCGTTCTTCTGTTTCCGCCATCTGCTTCTCTGGCCCTGGAACTCAACAAAAAAGCTCCTGTTTTGTAGCAGATTTCCTATGAAGCGGGTGAGGTGGTAATCCTTTGTGATGTTATAAATTTTTCTCAGGAGAAGCTGATGAATTACAGTATCATAGGCTGCTGACAGGTCTATGAAGACGGCTCCTGTAATCTGCTGCCTTTCAAAACCCACCTTCTATGTGCTGAGTCAGGTTCAAAATTTGTGATGTGCAATTTTTTTTTCCTTCCCTGAAACCAGCTTGCTGTGGAATCACACATAGGTCTATTTTTTCCATTTATTTTTTTACTATTTATTTTATAGTTTACCAGAGTAGAGTAAACATGCACACACATAAACCAAACCTTTCCACCTTTCCTTTAGTTCTTCCTCCCAGCTCTAATCTTCCATTTGGCACCTTTCTGTTCCAAAACAATTCTGTTTTCTCAAATAGTTTTCCTGCGTTCTCCCCTCCCATCTCTTCCAGGTCAGTCTGATCTTTTTTCACCTTTCACACACTTTGCCAGGCAACACATTTGCACTTTTCACTTCCTCCTCCCCTCCTTTAACCCATTCTCAAAACAATTCTGCTTATAACATTCACACTTTTAAAATCTCAGTCTCTTCACCGAAATTGAGTCTTATAATAAACTAGCGGTCCCCTGCCACGCATTGCTGAGGCCCAGTCTGGTGATATGGAAAATAAAGTAATTAGAAAGTGCTTCTTTCTAATATATGTAATGTATTTCTGCTTGTGGGTAAACAGTATTTCTTGATGTTTCTTTGACAATGTTGACGTAGAGATTGTCTGGTTTGCCTACTCTGGAACATGCAACATATCATTGCCCTTCTTTAGGAGTTCCTTTCAAATGTATAATACTTTATCTCTGTGTGTGTGAATCATATATATCTATATCTATAGCTGGATGGCTCTCTGTCAGGAAGGCTTTGATTACGTTTTCTTGCCCTGGTGAAGGGAGTTAGATTGCATGGCCTTAAGTGTTTTCTGTTGGTCATGAGGCTTAAGTGTGGGAAGTTTGCCCCAATTCTGTCATTCGTGGGGTTCATTCAGAATGGTCTTTGATTGGAGGTGAACTATAAATCCCAGTAACTACAGCTCCCAAATGCCAAGGTGTATTTCCCCCAAACTCCATCTATGTTCTTATTTGGGCATATATAATATCCGTGCCAAGTTTGGTCCAGATCCATCATTATTTGAGTCCACAGTGCCCTCTGGCTGTAAGTGAACTACAACTCCCAAACTCAAGGTCAATGCCCACCAAACGCTACTAGTATTTCTTGTTGGTCATGGGAGTCCTGTGTGCCAAGTTTGGTTCAATTCCATCATTGTTGGAGTTCAGAATGCTCTTTGATTATAGGTGAACTATAAATCCCAACAACTACAACTCCCAAATGACAAAATCATAATTTTTTGAGTGATGGTCACTCCTTGTGTAGTGAGATGTTTTGTTGCCAAATTTGGTGTGATTTCGTTCATTGGTTCTTTTGTTTTTAAGGTACTCATTATGCACAGAGCATTTTTATATATATAGATGGCCACTGGAAAAAAATTTCCACTGGATTATATCATTTTGTTTTTGTTGTTCTAGGTGTCCTGCTACTCCCCAAACTCTGCACAATGGACGATGGTGTCCCCGCTCCCAGCTGGACACGGGGAACCGGGCATCGCAGCCCTCGACCACCGCATCTACGTCTTAGGGGGTCGGTCCCACAACCACGGCCGCCTCTCGGCCGCTGTCCACATTTACGACGCCCGCCAGGACCGATGGGGAGATGGCCCCTCTCTGGAAAACAGCATTTCAGGGATGGCGGCCTGCGTCCTTACCGTGCCCCAGTCGGTGGTCCTCGACGTCGAGCGGCGGCCTCCAGAAAGGTGGCGGAGCGACAGCGGAGGGGACCTCTCTCCTGAGGACGTGAGCGCCTTCGACTGGGACGATCTTGAGGAGCTGAGTGACGAGAATTGAGAGCCTTCTCTTTTGTGATTTCTACATAGTCGGGTTTTTCAGGGGTACTATGCCCCCAAAATGCTTGCATCGCTTAGAGACCCCAGGAATGGAGAGGAAGGGGCCCTGGAGTCAGTGGGGAAGGAGTAATCGAATCCTAATACGAATGAATCCCAATATCAATTACCTCCCTCCCTCCCCGTCAAATAAACAATAAACACATTTGAAACAAACCCCAATATTAATGAACCATCCCTCTTGCCCCCTTCCCTCAAAAAAGCCCTCTCACCTCCCAAAACCCCCTGCTTACCTCAAATAAAGAGAAAAGAAAACCTATACAAACCCAAATATCAATGCCACCTTCCTTCCCTCCCACAAAAGATTCTAGAGATGCTTTCATCTCCGATTCCACAGGGAACGAGGTTGCTCCAACATCAAAGACAAGAGCATTGAATTCAGACTCAAAGGAGAGGGAGAGGCATTTATTTCACTGCACCATTGCTTCCAGGGCCCAACCTGGTAGACTATTCCTCCCCATCGACTGAATGCTGCTCACCGGCCTACCTCAGGTTATTCTTTCCATCCGCAGAGGTGCTAAGAGTCCACCACCATGAAAGAGTCAACCACTGGAGGCAGTAGCAGCGAGGAGGAGGAGGAGGCAGCACTGGTTGAACAGGAGGAAAAGACACAGAAGGAAGACTTACTTTGGTCGAGTAGGATAGTCTTCCAGGATCAGTATTCTTGTGGGTCCGTAGGTGACTGTGGAGCCCTATTCTTGATCTGCATCTTCTCCAGCAGTGAGGGCATTGGTTTCCAGGTGGAAGACGGTCTCAGTCTGGGTTGGCTTGATGCGCCTTCCTCTTGACACATTTCTCTCTTTCACCCTCCATTTGTGCCTCTTCAAATTCTGCAGCACTGCTGGTCACAGCTGACCTCCAGCTGGAGCGCTCACAGACCAGGTCTTCCTAGTTCTCAGTGTCTATGCCACAGTTTTTAAGTTTGGCTTTGAGCCCATCTTTAAATCTCTTTTCCTGCCCGCCAACATTCCATTTTCCATTCTTGAGTTCGGAGTAGAGCAACTGCTTTGGGAGACGGTGTTTGGGCATCCGGACAACGTGGCCGGTCCAGTGGAGTTGATAGCGGAGGACCATCACTTCAATGCTGGTGGTCTTTGCTTCTTCCAGTACGCTGACGTTTGTCCGCTTGTCTTCCCAAGAGATTTACAGGATTTTCCGGAGGCAGCGCTGATGGAATCGTTCCAGGAGTTGCATGTGATGTCTGTAGCCAGTCCACGTTTCGCAGGCGTATAGCAGGGTTGGGAGGACAGTAGCTTTATAAACAAGAATCTTGGTATCCCTACGGATGTCCCAGTTCTCAAACACTCTGCTTCATTCGGAAAAATGCTGCATTCGCAGAGCTCAGGCGGAAGAGCTCAGAAGGAAGAGGCAGCCGCCTCGCATGATAGCCCTGTGATGGAATCTGAATTGGAAATCAGCATTTGAATCCAGCTGGGCATCTTTCACCTCTCTAATCCTCATACACACTGCTGATTGTCTGTTGGAGTCCGTCCTCCCTCTCTGCCTCCTCCACAAGTGCCCTCCTGGCTCTGGAATCGGCCTGTCTGGGAGGCTGCCAGGAAAGAGACCAGGAGACTTGGTTTAGGGCCTCCGTCTTCCCCACAGCATTTCCGACTCACCCGTCTCCACTTGCACTGCCTTATTTGTTGTCAGTGGCCTCCAGGTCTTCCAAAGGCTCTTCTTCCTGCAGGAAGACAAGAGGAAATTCTCTGTTGGGTTTTGCTTCTGACTGCAGGCCTCTTCTGCACTCTCACTAGATACCTCTTTCTGTCAAGTTGGCCAAAAGTCATGGAAACGGCCGGCATGATGGAGAAAGCATCCTGTCTCCAACCAGTGGGCCCCAGGAGCTGATGAGAGTGGCACTCCATGGACATCACCCAGGAAGCTTCCTCTCTCCCTTCTTACAAGGTTTTGGCCCAGTGTGCCCCCTGTAAGCCCCCTCTGCTGGTGGTGGTGGCCTGAGCAGGTGTTTTTCTTAGGCAGAAAAAAGAAAATGCAAAGATACAGAATGGGGGATGATGCCTGGCTTCTGAACAGCAGTATGTGTGAAAAAGATCTTGAGAGTCCTCATGGGGAACAAGGTAAACATGAGCTAACAATGTCATGCCACAGCAAAAAAAGCCAATGGGATTTTGGCCTGCAGCAATAAGAGTCTAGTGTCTAGATCCAGGGAAGTCATGCTACCCCTCTATTCCGCCTTGGTTAGACCTCACCTGGAATACTGCGTCCAATTCTGGGCACCACAATTGAAGAGAGATATTGACAAGCTGGAATGTGTCCAGAGGAGGGTGACTTAAATGATCAAGGACCTGGAGAACAAGCCCTATGAGGAGTGGCTTAAAAAGCTGGGCATGTTTAGCCCGAAGAAGAGAAGGCTGAGAGGAGACATGATAGGCATGTATAAATATGTAAGGGAAGTCATAGGGAGGAGGGAGGGAGCTTGTTTTCTACTGCCCTGGAGACTAGGACGTGGAACAGTGGCTTCAAACTACAGGAAAGAAAGGCGATTCCACCTCAACACGAGGGAGAACTTCCTGACTGTGTGCTGTTCAGTAGGCATGGGCAATCTATGGTTCTAAAGTACTTACAAAACTAAAGTTCTGGTTGTGAAAACTAGGGGGCGCAGGTGCTTTGCTTCTACAGTGTTGCTAAAGTTCTGGTGGTGAAAATTTCAGAAGTCTAACAAAACTTTCAAAATTTCATTTATATTTCATTATTGGCAATTTTTATGACGGAACCAATTAGGAACTGCCATTTATAATGAAATTTTGAAAGTTTTGTTAGAGTTCTGAAATTATCACCACCAGAACTTTAGCCAAACTGTAGAAGCAAAGCACCAGCGCCCCCTAGTCTTCACCACCAGAACTTTAGTTTTGTAAGTACTTTAGAACCATGGATTGCTCATGCCTACTGTTCAGCAGTGGAACTCTCTGTCCCAGAGTGTGGTGGAGGCTCCTCCTTTGGAGGCTTTTAAGCAGAGACTGGATGGCCATCTATCGGGGGTGCTTTGAATGTGATTTTCCTGCTTCTTGGCAGGGGGTTGGATTGGATGGCCCACAAGGTTTCTTCCAACTCTATGGTTCTATGTTGGAGCAGGGGACTGCGGTGGCGCAATGGGTTAAACTGTTGAGCTGCTGAACTTGCTGACCATGTCAAATCCATGACATGGGGTGAGCTGTTAGTAGTCCCAGCTCCTACTAACCTAGCAGTTCGAAAACATGCAAATGTGAGTAGATCAATAGGTACTACCTTGGTGGGAAGGTAAGCGGCTCTCCATGCGGTCATGCCATCCACATGACCAGGAGGTGTCTACGAACAACGCAGGCTCCTCAGCTTGGAAATGGAGATGAACATCTCGATGTGTATGACTTATTCTCTGTGTTACCCCAATGGAGACAAACAGGCTCATAGCATTGCGATATTTGGAATAAAAAGTCATGCTTTTAAAATGTGAGCACAGGGTTATTAATGAAAACTGGATAGTAGATCAACACTGGGTCTCCCTGGCATGTTGTGCTCAACTATGAAGTTCTCCTCTGTGGATGATTCACAGATTTGATTGCAGTCCTCCCTCCACATTTTGCACTTTTGGAGATTGGATTCCAAATGTTCTCTTTAGAAATCGCTTGGTTCTCTTGGGCTATTGTATGGTCAGCAGATTACAGGAGCTGTCTTCATAGACCTGTCAGCAGCCTATGATACTGTGAACCACCGCCTTCTCCTGAGAAAAATGTATAATATCACAAAGGACTACCACCTCACCCGCCTCATAGGAAACCTGCTACAAAAGAGGAGCTTTTTTGTTGAGTTCCAGGGCCAGAGAAGCAGATGGCGGAAACAGAAGAAAGGCCTGCCTCAGGGGAGCGTGCTTGCTCCATCCATGTTCAACATCTACACAAATGACCAGCCACTGCCAGAAGGGACAGAGAGTTTCATCTATGCTGATGATCGTGCCATTACTGCTCAAGCAGGGAGCTTTGAGATGGTTGAACAGAAGCTTTCCGAAGCTCTAGGTGCTCTTACTGCCTACTACAGGGAAAACCAGCTGATCCCTAATCCATCTAAAACACAGACATGTACCTTTCATCTCAAGAATAGAGAAGAATAGAGAAGCATCTCGAGCTCTGAAGATCACCTGGGAAGGAATCCCACTGGAGCATTGCAGCGCACCCAAATACCTGGGAGTCACTCTGGACCGTGCTCTTACCTACAAGAAGCACTGCCTGAACATCAAGCAAAAAGTGGGTGCTAGAAACAATATCATACGAAAGCTGACTGGCACAACCTGGGGATCACAACCAGATACAGTGAAGACATCTGCCCTTGTGCTATGCTACTCTGCTGCTGAGTATGCATGCCCAGTGTGGAACACATCTCACCACACTAAAACAGTGGATGTGGCTCTTAATGAGACATGCTGCATTATCATGGGGTGTCTGCGCCCTACACCACTGGAGAAATTACACTGCTTAGCTGGTATGCACCACCTGACATCCGCCGGGAAGTAGCAGCCAATAGTGAAAGGACCAAGGCAGAGACATCTCCAGCTCATCCCCTGTTTGGGTATCAGCCAGCACGTCAACGACTTAAATCTAGAAATAGTTTTCTAAGATCTACAGAGACACTCGCTGGAACACCTCAGCAAGCGAGAGTCCAAAAGTGGCAGGCTCAAACCCAGAACCTCAACCAATGGCTGATACCAGATGAGAGACTCCCCCCTGGGCACACAGAGGACTGGGCGACTTGGAAGGCACTGAACAGACTGCGCTCTGGCACCACGAGATGCAGAGCCAACCTTCAGAAATGGGGGCTACAAAGTGGAATCCTCGACATGCGAGTGTGGAGAAGAGCAAACCACTGACCACCTGCTGCAATGCAACCTGAGCCCTGCCACATGCACAATGGAGGACCTTCTTGCAGCAACACCAGAAGCACTCCAAGTGGCCAGATACTGGTCAAAGGACATTTAACTAACTACCAAACTCACAAGTTTTGTATTTTGTCTGTTTGTTTGCTTTGTTCTGTTAGAAATGTAATATAATGGACTGGTTGCTCTGACACAACAAATAAAGCAGATATTGACCATACAGTCGTGCTAGAAGACAGAAATTCATAAAAAAGTGTTCTCTCGGGTTCCATCTCATTATGTTGGCAATCTTTCCAAAAGGATGCATCCCTCCAGATGTTTAAGGGCTGCAATTCTCCATACCCCCTACTTCTGCATATTGATAACCTCTTAACACAGTGTTTCTCAACCTGGGAGTT